AGGACAGAGAGAGACAGTCCCGGAGCAGCGGAGGGCACCATGCCCAAACCTCCAGCACTTGTTGCAGAGCCGAGGAGAAGGAATGTACTCCTGGACAGAGCACCTGGCACCAGCAAGAATGACAGAGGGTGGAAGGGTCCTACCATCAAAGGTAATCTTCACAACCCGGAGGGGTTGACGGCGACTACCACGAGGGGGACGAGTAAACGTGTCCACCTGGAGAATAGAATGGCCCTGGGCAGCGAGGATATGGCGAATATCGTCGTGGCAGTCGCGCAGGTCCCGAACACCGGTTGCAACATGGGGCGGGAGCAAAATAGTGCCAACACTGGCATTCAATTGAGCGTTCTTCGAGACCCGAACGGGGGTCTCGCCAAGGCAGGATAAGGCAGCCAAGCGGGAAGCAGCATCCTGAGAAGGAGCAGCAACGACACGTGTACCGAGACGAGTGGGGTTAAAAGTAATGGAGGCATCCACGGAATCAATGAGATGTCGATGAAGGGAGAAATCGTCAGGAGGCGCAGAATCAAGAGGGAGGAGATCAAAATATTTGGCCCACGAAGCGGGACCAAACAAGGCTTGATAGGTAGCAGAACTGGAAGGAATCGAGCGAGGGCGGCCGTGACGAGGACGGCGGTGAGAACCCCCAGAGAGAGAGGGGTTAAAAGGCGCAGTAGTTACAACTAGAGAAGGAGCCGCGCCAGGGGACGAGGTAGTCACCACTGGGGGCTTGGGGCTCGACCCAACCACAGAGGAGGGAGGGGAGCCAGGGGAAGGAGTCAGAGAGGCCAAAGGAGGAGCAAGGTCGGGGCCCAATGCAGCGGAGGCTACAGAGCCCGGTCTTCCAATACGGACCGACTCGGGGGCTTGGTCGCCCACCCCACGAGCCTGAAAAGGTAAGCCAGAAGCAGCCGAAACAGGGGTTATCATCTTGACGAAATTAAGAATTCACTCACGAATGTGCCCCCACACCCACCATGGAGCCACAATTAGAGGCAGGACACCCAACAAGAAGCTATCGCCGATCTTGTTGGGGCCTCCTAGGGGTGCGTCGTGAGTATACGCCCCACAAACGCCACCTTAAGAAACCGACAGTCCGTCGAGATCGGGTTCAGTGACGAAGTGGGGATTGACAATAAAAGGTTCCCCTCGCTCTCGACGTCGGGTACTGCAGTTCTACGGGTGCATGAGTATGCCTCCTCAAGCACCCGGGCGTCAAAATAGAAGAAGTCCATGGAAGAACCAGAACGAGCAAAAGGTCGGCAGGAAACGGCAAGCAGATAGGAGAAGAGGGGGGAGAAAAACGAAACAGAAGGAAAAGGAAAAGGTGCCCAGCAGAATTGGAGAGGACGGCAGCAGGAGCACAAGGCTAGAAAAGGACAGAGGACTGTCCTAAGGAGCATCACACTCCAGCAGCCGCCCACGAAGCCCCCACACGGCGACAACGAGCTGAGCGGGGAGGGGGAAAGATTAAGCAAGAAAGAGAGGGCTGGGCGGACTGCATTTTCTTGGATTGTCGGAAAGCCTTTGACACAGTACCGCATAAGAGGCTGGTACATAAGCTGGAGAGACAGGCAGGTGTAGCTGGTAAGGTGCTCCAGTGGATAAGGGAGTATCTAAGCAATAGGAAGCAGAGAGTTACGGTGAGGGGTGAGACCTCCGATTGGCGTGAAGTCACCAGTGGAGTCCCACAAAGCTCTGTACTCGGTCCTATCTTGTTTCTGATATATGTAAATGATCTCCCGGAGGGTATCGATTCATTTCTCTCAATTTTTGCGGACGATGCTAAAATTATGAGAAGGATTAAAACAGAAGAGGACTGTTTGAGGCTTCAAGAAGACCTAGACAAGCTGAAGAAATGGTCAAACAAATGGTTGTTAGAGTTTAACCCAACCAAATGTAATGTAATGAAGATAGGTGTAGGGAGCAGGAGGCCAGATACAAGGTATCATCTGGGAGAGGAAATTCTTCAGGAGTCAGAGAAGGAAAAAGGCTTGGGGGTTGATATCACGCCAGACCTGTCTCCTGCAGCACATATCAAGCGGATAACATCAGCGGCATATGCCAGGCTGGCCAACATACGAACGGCATTCAGAAACTTGTGTAAAGAATCATTCAGAACCTTGTATACCACATATGTCAGGCCAATCCTGGAGTATGCAGCCCCAGCATGGAGTCCATATCTAGTCAAGGATAAGACTAAACTGGAAAAGGTTCAAAGGTTTGCCACCAGACTAGTACCCGAGCTGAGAGGTATGAGCTACGAGGAGAGACTACGGGAATTAAACCTCACTTCGCTGGAAGACAGAAGAGTTAGGGGGGACATGATCACCACATTCAAGATTCTGAAGGGAATTGATAGGGTAGATAAAGACAGTCTATTTAACACAAGGGCAACACGCACCAGGGGACACAGGTGGAAACTGAGTGCCCAAATGAGCCACAGAGATATTAGAAAGAACTTTTTTAGTGTCAGAGTGGTTGACAAATGGAATGCATTAGGGGGTGATGTGGTGGAGGCTGACTCCATACCCAGTTTCAAGTAGATATGATAGAGCTCAATAGGCTCAGGAATCTGTACACCTGTTGATTGGCGGTTGAGAGGCGGGACCAAAGAGCCAGAGCTCAACCCCCGCAAACACAACTAGGTGAGTACAACTAGGTGAGTACACGCACACACACACACGCACACACACACACACAAGTATCTTTAATAACCTAATACTTAAATCTTGATTTATTCAAGAACTGCTTGAAGATAAACTACTCTTGACAGTCAAAACTTAAATTATTAAAAGTAAATAGTTAACAGAACATATATAAAACAGTGAAGAACACAATTAAAATTATTAAACACATGAGTACATTGGGTGCGAAATAAGTTCAAAACTGTTGTAGAATTGGTGCAAAATTCCTATTAAACTGAAGTTTTATTAGCACAAAGATCAAACTTAGTACAACATTGGGACTAAACCAGCATGGAAATGGGGTTTAACAGTCTTAAAACTGGGGTAAAATATCAGGTGGTATATTCAAACCAGCTATAGTAAGGGTGTTACACACTTGAACTTTAATGCATTATGTTTAGAACATATAAACTAGCTTTGATGACAAACTATTGGAGGAATAGGTCTTTGCAATTAGAGAGGGGAGGGATACAAAACTTTTCCTATGTCTAAGTGTTAATATTCGTTAAAACCCTGAAGAACTAATTGCAGATATTACTACAGTGATTAAAGCTATCTACATAGTGTCACGGTATTTTACTGATGGTAAGATAAAGTCAAATTACTTACTCGTTAACGTCGAGCAACTTCCTGGAAATAAAAACAAACTACTATTAATATAATGGATTGACAAGTTAATGGTTTCATGCCCTCTTATTTAAACACTTAGGGAGTATTAACATCTTTATTGGCAAAATACAAAATTCTGCCTAATCCAAGTAATTAAGTTATATCTTTTTTACAGTGAGAATGCTGCTCGTATCCAATGCCACACTTTAAAGTATCATACAAAAGCCAATAGATCTAAATTGTAGCACATAAATATTTCAGGATGTTACAAACTGCTACAACAGATTTTATACATGTTTCAATTTACGAATTTGAAATTTAACCACACAAAACAGGAATGAGTTTATAAGAGATGCAGCTTAAAAACGAAACAAAACTATAATACGGATTAACAAATTAATAAATGGTTAGGATGTCTTCCAATATGCATAATTCAATCAAATAGTCATATAGTGTGTTCAAAAGGTCAGGAGGTCCATTGAATATAATATATTATGTAGAAATCGAGTGAATACTTTAAAGGTTTGTCATAAACTTTACAAGCTTAATATTCTGGTAGCTGATCAGCCTCAATAACCTACTACATGGGTCTATAGCCATAGCGAATTCGAACAAAACATCACATTGTCTGCTCAGATTACAGTGCTGACCATACTAATATACTAATACCAATTAACATTAGACAAGTTTTTGTAGATTTTAAAACTTCAACTTTTAAGTCGTTTCGTTGACCAGACCACACACTAGAAGTTGAAGGGACGACGACGTTTCGTTCCGTCTTGGACCATTCTCAAGTCGATTGTCGTCAAGTCGAAAGTTGTTTCGTAATTCTTTTAAATAGGTTGGGGATGTATTTATTACATGTCGTGAACATGTATTTAGGCCTCTGGGGAATATTTACCATCTCTCTGTGGGGGAAGTGGCTTAGTTAAGACCTCTAAGGCGGAGGTGAAGACTAACTGAGCATTAGTATAGTAGTATTGAATTAGGTTTGATACCCGTTTTAACGTTTGGAATCTTCGCTCGAAACAGCCAAACAGTTGAAGGTAACTGATTAAGAGCCACAAGGAAGTGACCAACTGCAAACTGGAGGAACAGTGCTTAAAAGAATACCCAGAACTACTTCTGCACAAGTTGTATACAAGTGTGTCTGAGGATAGAGGTTCAACAAAGTTTCAAATTATGACCAAGAAATACTATGATAAATTTAAAACCAGAAATCAAGTGTCTCTAATATAAATATATATTAAAAGGAAATTTTTGAAACAATGCGAGAGAATTGGGGGTTTCCATTCCAAGTCGCCCCAGATTTTCACTCCCAAGTCACACTCCTCCAAAGATTACCTCGAACATCACCCTGCGACTTCATTTTGTAGATTATATAAATTTACATTCACTAAAAATATCAAGAGCAAAGGGTGACAAGAGAAATAGCAATGGATGGAAGTGTATGACAAACATATTACACAAGGAAATATAGCAATCAATTTAAGAAATGAGGAGATTTGAAGTGGGACAAGGCATGCGGCTGGGAGTACACAGGTTTGCGGTTTGAACCTCTGAATTATTACTCCATATAATTTTCTCTAAGGAGATATTAAGATTTTAAATATATCATCAGTTTTTATGTTAACTAAAAGGTCTTCAATTAGAAAAAACCAAGACCGCCATGTGAAGGTCTTCAGTTTTCTACCATCACCTGACCTGTTTTCAAAGATTTCATTAACGCCGAGAGTCCTCAGGAGATTTACAGGCTCGGGCGATGACTTGCATTTGTCAAGAGCGGCCTTGGGATAGTAGAAGAGAAACACCAGGCACATCTCCTCCCGCGTGTTCAACCCGCCCTGTGGCAACGAAATGGGCATGAGAATGATTTTACAAAACAGGTTGATTAATCTGCACATGTCCTCAGGTAGGGGATCCACACAAGGGGAATGAATTGAGAGCAATATATAATTTGTGCTATTAGCTACTCTATCTATGGTTGTGTCAGGTCAAGGTTAGGTTTCATCCTCCAGGTGGCACTCGTAGACAAGGATGTGGTGGACGTGTTCCAGGTTCCTGACTTCAATCACTGGCTCGTACTGTGGGGTCAGGTGAGGGGAAGGACGGGAAAAGATGTTACATTAGTGTGTTAATGAAGCGGCTGCTATTGGCCTATACAAAGCAGCTGCTATTTGCTTCTACCACACATTCATAGTCAAACCTACGCGTGTTCAACCCGCCCTGTGGCAACGAAATGGGCATGAGAATGATTTTACAAAACAGGTTGATTAACCTGCACATGTCCTTAGGTAAGGGATCCGCATAAAGGGAATGAATTAAGAGCAATATATAATTTGTGCTATTATCTAATCTATCTATGGTTGTGTCAGGTCATTGGTTACGTTAATATGGTGTATTATTGACGAAATGGAATTTTAAAATATTGATTTTGAAGATTATTTCAGTATGCCTGCACACTCCATTTACAGAAAACGGAATTCTTAAAAGAAAACTGTTTAGCACTTTTATATTTTAATCCAACGATTTATATTACAATAAAGTAAGAACGTGAGAATAATCTGTTTAGGACAAAGGTTCACTTGCCACTTTACATTTAAGACTTTAGCAGGAACCTTATCATGCTTTCAGGCCATCACAAATATCTAGATAATTATCCAAGTGGTTTCTCATGGAAATGAATTTGATCTGAGGATGGGTTCAGGTTAATAGGAGTGAAAGAATGAGAATGCTAGCAGTCCTGCTACATGGTGACCTGGCCACTCTCAGACCTGCCTATACTTACAAAGGTTGGAACAGTTGTCTTGGTAGAGTCGTAGCCACATTCTACGATAAAGGAGTCTCCCTTGAGGATCGTCATTTCGTCCTTGAGTACTCTGCTCTGCTGATAGTTGAAGTCGTAAAACTTATCTGCGGGAGGCAGGGCAAGCGTCAGCACCAGAGGTCTGATGATTCACTGGAGTGTTGTCTTTATGACTGTTTCAATGATTAACAGTTCTGGTGAATGAATGAGTACCAGTGGGTTTAAAGGTCGTTTCCTACACTACTCTTTTCCCTCTCCCAGGCAATTACTACCAGTATAAAACATTTACCTCCTATATACAAATTTTAACTATTACGTCCTGTATACTTAAAGAGGACATAACTTTTGAGATTTCCCCAAAGATAAATTTGAAAATATACCTTTTCCAGACCCCCCCCTCCCCTTCCACACTCAATGGGGACATTTTGATGTTGCAAATAATGATTAAAGGAGAAGCGATCTTCACACATTTCAAAACATTAAAATAAAACAAGTCATTACAACACTCACACAAATCGTTGACATTAGTTGCCACGTACACATACATTAAAAAAACTTGCCCTTAAGAGTGACTGGCAGTTCCCGTCCGTTGCGGATGTGTCTGAGGGTGATGTCTCTACCCAGGAGATGAGCGTGCAGCATCCCCTGGAACACCTTCAACCCTCCTTCAGGCACTCTCTGCATCACCACCACCACCAGCACAGACAGCAGCACCACCACAAGCGCAGTTTTGAAGCGATAGGGTTAATTTGAGAAATTTCGAAATGTCTATTGTATAATATTCCTTCCAGATCTACCACTAATTTGCTATTAGTTTTTCCTACTCCATCTCTCATCATCATCCCCCCTTTTCTTCCCCGTCTTCCTCAGTCCTTTCTTTGTCCCATTTGCATCCCACCACTTAACTAAGTCTTCCTCCTCCTTGGCTTATCTTATTTTTAATTTACAAACTTTAAAAAAAAATAAACTGTGCACACTATCTGTCCTGCTCATAATCGATATTAGTAAATGAACGTCTACGTTAAAATTCCATCACATATCTTATATTTCCCCAATAAATAATTGGGTGAACAGTCAAATGTTAAAACATTTACTGCTTTGTTGGGCCAAGCTGCCTTGGGTAGGCCTCATTTGATTATGCACTGTTAGGCGAGATAATGATGGGTAACATAAGATAGGGTAGGGTTCGTTAAGGTTAGGTCAAGTTACGAAAGGTAAATAAACTGAGGCAAGATATATTAGGAATGACGGAGCTAACTTTGTTAAGCATTATATGAATCATCCCTCAACCTGAAGACATACGTCAGAGCCACTAGGCCTCTGACGTCATAGGAACAGGCCTAGTGCCCGCACCGTAAGCAAGGCTCTTAGTTTAAACACGAGCACGAGACCAGGAAGACTTTCAGCTAGGAATAGGTCGCTGTTCCCTACGATAAGCATGCCTAAGACGACTGTCGAATATTTTTCCCCGTTTCTTAACGGGTATGACAATCCTCCGGTACGACTTGCAACCAGAGGTCGTTAGATTTAGTTTCATGTCGTTTTGTTGAAATACTCTCAGAGCAGACTAGAGATTGGTAAATCACAGTTAAGTTAAAGGCCAATAAAGTCTGCGCATCACGATGGAAGTGCTAACATGTTTTGCCGTTGGGTAATGCCAAAAATACTAATAATAAAAAAAATAATAATAATTGTAATAGAAATTCAATTCATTTCTATCATTAGAAATTGTTTATAAAAAAACTCTTCACCTCTCTGGTGCATTCGCTGAAGCAGTGACCAATTGTTTTCCAGTGTTGTCCTGGAGGAATGATGTGGGTGGGAAAGACGGTATGACCCAACGTGATGACCCCGGAGTCGTACTGACGCAGCTTCTCCGTGTGGTAGAGTCGAATGCCAGACCCGTCCACTACTCCTAATAATTAAAGTAATACGAGTTATAATCAGAGGTAACAGAACGCTGATGTACGTCAGAATAGAGGCGCCCCACTGACCATCCCCGTGAACTGTAGTTTTGTACCTTAAACTGGACAAATTTCAATTATCACATCTTTGACTTTGGGGTTTATGAGTACCTAATTTTAATGGTACAGTTTGTTGCTTCATTAGCTCTCCCTCGGCCATGTTCTGAATATTCTCCAACAATCTTTAATCCATTCTTACACTGACTTGCGTTCCTTAATCTCACAATCTCCTCCTCCAACCCAGACACGCCCCGATCCCTCGCATGGAAGATGCTAATAAGTTCGCTCCTTCATTCTTCCGTCAGTTCCCTACAATGGTAAATGTTACACATTTCTCTCTAAACTCACAAAACCCTCAAGCAAGCGCCTAGGCCTACCTACCTTTCTTAAGTTTGGGGTTGTCGTAATGGATCTCCATCATAAAATAATCCGTTCCGCCATGCTCCTTTCCAAGTGAGTAGCCCACGTGATCAGGCCACATCTCTCCTGCAAGGAAGGAGAAAATAGAAACAGTTTAGGAATATAATGAAAGTCATATTCCTCAGGATAAAGTTTACTATCGCTGATAGCGATACATCACCCCAAGTAACATGTCAAGTTTGTTGCTCTGTTCTTTATCGTTTAGATTAATAAATAATCAAAGTTTTCACCATTCTAATTAAATTCGATTTAATACGACGAGTAAGTTCTAAACCACTTAAATTTCCAATGGTTATGCTATCAAATAGTCAACTTATTCATCATCTAAGCTTCTAACCATTTGTGTTTCATATAACTTCACATTATTTAGGGTCTACCACACATTTTTAATCCCACCGATGCTCGCTATAACTTAAGCTGTCACCCCAGTTGTCCATAACTTGGGTTCCTTTATCAGGCTCTTCATTTCCAAACCACCACCTCAAACAGTCAATGCCTTTTCAACTTCGGTATAGAATTATAACACCTAGGAGTAAAACCTATTAAAATAAAATCCTTGTCATCTATATTCCGTTCCACCTTAAGTTTAAACCAAAAATTACCATAAGAAACATCCTAAAGACACAATTCACCCGAAATGTTTGTAGTTAAACAATAATTTATATTTGGTTCATCACATCTGCCACTTTAATTGCCAGGTTAACAAAGTCTCAGTCATATTAATATCATCCACCCAGAAGTTTATCTCAAACATTATCAATAACCCAAAAATTATAGTCGCAAAGCACACCCCTCAGACCCCATCACGGACCACCTACCCTCAGACCCATCACGGACCACGTACCCTCAGACCCATCACGGACCACCTACCCTCAGACCCATCACGGCCACCTACCCCCCAGACACGCCACGGCCAACTACCAACAGACCCATCACGAGCCACCTACTCACAGACACACTCACGGTCACCTACCCTTAGACCCCATAACGGCCCACCTACTATCAGACTCCATCACGGGCCACGTACCCACAGACCCATCACGACCACCTACCCTCAGACCCATCACGGACCACGTACCCACAGACTCATCACGGTCACCTACCCTCAAACCCATCACGGGCCTCCTACCCTCAGACCCATCACGGCCACCTACCCTGAGACCCATCACGGCCACCTACCCTCAGACCCATCACGGGCCACCTACCCTTAGGCCCCATCAGGTGCCACCTACCCTCAGGCCCCATCACGGGCCACCTACCCTCAGACCCCATCACGGGCCACCTACCCTCAGACCCATCACGGGCCTCCTACCCTCAGACCCATCACGGCCACCTACCCTGAGACCCATCACGGCCACCTACCCTCAGACCCATCACGGGCCACCTACCCTTAGGCCCCATCAGGTGCCACCTACCCTCAGGCCCCATCACGGCCACCTACCCTCAGACCCATCACGGGCCACCTACCCCCAGACCCATCACGGGCCACCTACCCCCAGACCCAACACGTACCACCTACCCTCAGACCCATCACGGGTCACCTATCCTTAGGCCCCATCAGGTGCCACCTACCCTCAGGCCCCATCACGGCCACCTACCCTCAGACCCATCACGGGCCACCTACCCCCAGACCCATCACGGGCCACCTACCCCCAGACCCAACACGTACCACCAACCCTCAGACCCATCACGGGTCACCTACCCTCAGAACCTTCAAGGGCCACCTACCCTCAGACCCCATAACGGGCCACCTACCCTCAGACCCATCACGGCCACCTACCCTCAGACCCATCACGGGCCATCTACCCTCAGACCCATCACGGCCACCTACCCTCAGACCCCATCACAGCCACCTACCCTTAGACCCATCACGGGCCACCTACCCCCAAACCCATCACGAGCCACCTACCCTCAGACCCATCACGAGCCACCTACCCTCAGACCCATCACAGGCCACCTACCCTCAGACCCATCACGAGCCACCTACCCCCAGACCCATCACGGATCACCTACCCTCAGACCCATCACGAGCCACCTACCCTTAGACCCATCACGAGCCACCTACCCTCAGACCCATCACGGGCCACCTACCCCCAGACCCATCACGTACCTCCTACCCTCAGACCCATCACGGGTCACCTACCCTCAGACTCATCAAGGGCCACCTACACCCAGACCCATCACGTACCTCCTACCCTCAGACCCATCACGGACCACCTACCCCCAAACCCATCACGAGCCACCTACCCTCAGACCCATCACGAGCCACCTACCCCCAAACCCATCACGTACCTCCTACCCTCAGACCCATCACGGGCCACCTACCCCCAAACCCATCACGTACCACCTACCCCCAGACCCATCACGTACCACCTACCCCCAGACCCATCACGGGCCACCTACCCCCAGACCCATCACGTACCACCTACCCCCAGACCCATCACGGATCACCTACCCTCAGACCCATCACGGGCCACCTACCCCCAGACCCATCACGTACCACCTACCCCCAGACCCATCACGTACCACCTACCCTCAGACCCATCACGGACCACCTACCCCCAGACCCATCACGTACCTTCTACCCTCAGACCCATCACGGGTCACCTACCCTCAGACTCCTCAAGACCACCTACCCTCAGATCCAACAGCCCAGGCTACAACTGGTACAGTACAGTGAAGCCAGGAGAGGGGCATATTGGGGGTGTAGCACTGAGACCCCTTCACCCGCAGCCACTTCTCGTAATGCCTGGAGGCATCCTCCAGGTGGCACTCGTAGATAAGGATGTGGTGGACGTGTTCTAGGTTCCTGGCTTCAATCACTGGCTCGTACTGTGGGGTCAGGTGAGGAAGGGAAGGAAGGGAAAAGATGTTTCATTAGGGTGTTAATGAAGCGGCTGCTATTGGCCCATACGACGCAGTTGCTATTTGCTTCCACCACACTTTCATAGTCAAACCTACGCTTGAAATAATTAAGTTATCCCACATCTATGTTACCAGGTAATTAGTTCCATTGATCAACCACCCTATTTCCAAACTAGTATCTACTCAGTGCATAGCTTTCTGGATGAAACTGATCATCACTTATGATAGTCCTTTCAACGCAGCTGTCGAGACGTGATTTGAGTATGCCTCGTCTGATCACCTGTGTGAGATTGATGTCTGCCCACAAGGTAGGACGATGTGGAAGCATCGACTCCACTTTAATACTGGAACTGAACTAGTGGAATAAGTTATACAATTAATTTTGCAAAAACAAAATCAAGAAGGTTTAAATGAAGGTACATAGTATGTAAGTTTTTCAAACAACGCTATGATTGTCCAAAAGCAAAAGTAAGTAAGTAAGTAAGTAATTATCAAAAGAAGGCACCAAACCGGGAAGGCTATGTAGCACCATCAAATACGCAAAATAATCAGAGGGCGCTAAATATCACCAAGGATGCCAATACGAGAACAAAAACGCATAAGGCGAACGATATCAAAAGTATCCGAGTCACCAAGAATTCTATCGAGGGACAGGTGACCGCGAGGGGCGGTCGGAAAGCAAGACACACGCTCGTCCTGGAAGTCAGGACATTCAAGAAGGACATGCACGACCGTAAGAGGGACAATGCAACTAGGACAATAAGGAGCAGGGCGGCGCTCCATCAAGTGACCATGGGTTAAGCGAGTATGGCCAATACGCAACCTCGCTAGAGCTGTTTCCCACCGCCGGTTACGGTGGAAGGAGGACGGCCACGAGGAAACACAACATTTAAGAGTACGTAGCTTGTTACCAGTAACAGACAACCAAGAAGCCTGCCAACGGGTAAGGACTGAGGAATGGATAACCGGGTAAAAGTCGGAATACGGGATGCCTTTACGAGAGATGGGACAAGAGCGGACAGCTTCCTTAGCGGCAGCATCCGCACGCTCATTTAAAGACACGCCAATATGGCTGGGAACCCAACAAAACTCAACCGACTTAAATTTACTGTGAACGAGAAACAGCCAATGCTGGATCTCGACAACTACCGGATGAACTGGATTAAAGCACCCGAGAGCCATGAGGGCACTACGAGAGTCAACAACAACCACAAAGGAAGACTGACAACGAGAAAGCAGGAGACGAAGAGCATAGAGAATAGCATAAAGTTCCGCTGTAAAGATGCTAGTCTCCGGAGGCAAGCGACACATATAAGTGCGATCAGGAAAAACAACAGAGTAGCCAACACCGTCCGCTGACTTAGACCCATCGGTGAAGACAGAAACGGAGCGGGAGTGAGAAGAAAAGTGCTCGAGGAAAAGGCGTTTTAGAACTGTAGGAGGGGTAAAAGCTTTAGTGATACGAGTCAAGGATGTACAAAACCGCGGAAGAGGGACCCTCCACGGGGGCAAAGAAGGAACAACACGAGGAGAAACATCAGAAATACGAACGGAAAGAGAATCCTGTAGGCGAGATAACCGGACAGAAAGAGGGAGGTGGTGAAGAGGAACAGGAACCGCAGGAGGGGTAAAAGTTAAAGCACGACAGAGACGAGAGGAAGGATGTTGCAAGGACCGCGCAAGATAGCGAAGACAGTAGCGATCACGGCGGTCCTGGAGGGACAGGAAGCCAGTGTCAACATACAAGCTAAGGACGGGAGTCGAACGAAAGGCACCAGAACTGAGGCGCAACCCAGTATGGTGCAAAGCATCAAGACGGCGAAGAGTAGAAGGAGAAGCAGACGAGTAAGCAGGGCAACCATAATCGAGCTTAGACAGGACGAGAGAGGAATGTAAAGCAAGGAGAGTGCGCCTATCTGCCCCCCAAGAAGTATGGGACAAGACCCGAAGGAGGGTAAGGGACTTAGAGCACTCAACACGGAGGTAAGAGATATGGGGAGACCAAGACAAACGAGTGTCAAGGAATAACCCCAAAAGCTTCGCGGAATCTTTGTATTCAAGGGGATGACCATAAAGTGACAAAGAGGGACGAAGAACAACCCGTTTCCGCGTAAAAGTCATGGCACAAGTCTTAGAAGTAGAGAACTTGAAGCCATGACCTGTGGCCCAAGACGACACGGCATCAATCGCAAGTTGAAGCCGGCGTTGAAGGAGAGGCGAATCATCACCCTGACAACAAAGGGTAAGATCATCGACATAGAGAGCGGAGAAGACACCAGAAGGAAGAGAGGAAAGAAGACCATTGAGGGCAACCAGAAAAAGAGTAGTGCTCAGAACACTACCCTGGGGCACACCTTCGTATTGCTGAAAAGAGGGAGAGAGAGCGGTACCAAGGCGCACCCGAAAGGAACGACGAGAGAGGAAGCTGCGGAGAAAGAGAGGGAGATGACCACGAAGGCCAAAAGAATGAAGTTGAGATAGGATATGATAACGCCAAGTGGTGTCGTAAGCCTTTTCTAGGTCAAAAAGGACGGCAACAACGGAGGTCTTCGCAGCAAAAGCAGTACGTATATAGACCTCCAAGTTCACCAGGACATCTGTCGTGCTGCGGCACTTGCGGAAACCAAATTGAGAAGGGGAGAGGAGGTGATGGTGTTCCAGGAACCACATCAGACGAACGTTAACCATACGTTCAAAGAGTTTGCAGACACAACTTGTGAGAGCAATAGGGCGAAAGTCCTTAGGGGAAGTACCCAGAGACCCCGGTTTGCGAACAGGGAGGACAACGGCATCGAGCCAGTCCTCAGGGACTGACGACGACTCCCAGATCCGATTATACAGACTCAGTAAATACTGAGACGTGCTCGGAGGGAGATGGCGAAGCATCTCATAATGAATACCATCGGAGCCCGCCGCCGTAGAACCGCAGAGGGCCAGGGCAGAACGAAGTTCAGAGAGAGAGAAGGGATCATTATAGGGAAGCTGAAGATGAGTGCAGAAATCTAAAGGACGAGACTCAAGGACAGGTTTACGAAGAAGGAAAGATTGGGGAAGATGAAGACCAGAGCTAACAGAAGAAAAGTGGGAACCCAGTTCGGAAGCGACCTGCAACGGGTCCGCCACAAGAGTATCATGGAGGTGAAGGACCGGTGAAACATCGGGAACAAACTTACCCGCTATCTTGCGGATACGCTTCCAGATCTGGGCCAGAGGGGTTTCGGACGTAATTGTCGAGACATAAGATGCCCAACATTCACGTTTAGCCGTACGGATGGCCCTACGGGCCACCGCACTCGCTTTCCGAAAGAAAAGAAAAGAATCGGTCGTCTGCCTACGGCGGTGCTTCTTCCAGGCTGCACGCTTACAGCGGACAGCCCGAGCACAGTCCGCATTCCACCAGGGAACGCACTTCCGTGGACCCCGAGAGGAAGAGCGAGGAATAGAGCGGAGGGCAGCGTCGAAGACAGTGTCATGAAAAAGGAGAAGAGCGCGAGAGAGGGGCAGAAGGGAGAGGTCAGAGAGAGTAGCACTGAGGGAAAATAGGGTCCAGTCCGCCTTAGCAAACTGCCACCTAGGGAAAGAGAGGGAAGGGCGAAAAGAGAAAAAGGAAACAAGGATGGGGAAATGATCACTTCCATGGAGGTCATCAAGAACCTGCCATGTGAAATCTAAGTAAAGAGAAGAAGAGCAGAGAGAAAGATCAAGACAAGAAAGGGTGCGAGTCCGAGAGTCCAAATGAGTGGGCTCACCAGAATTCAGAAGAGACAGGGAAGAAGAGAGGAGAAACGGCTCAAGGAGGCGACCCCGGGTATTCGTCAGAACGTCACCCCAAAGAGAATGACGACAATTGAAGTCACCCAGCAGGAGCACAGGCTCCGGCAAGGAGTCTAGGAGGTGTTTCAAATCAGGAAGAGAGAGCGGGACACTCGGGGGGAGATAAATGGAACAAACTGTGTACCATTTCCCCACAAAGATACGAGCAGCAGAACAATGGAGAGGCGAAGGAAAAAGTAAAGGAACAAAGGGAACATCAGCCCGAATCAAGAGAGCAGAAGAATTAAAAGCCCCAGCAATGGCTGGGGGGGGGAGAGAAAGGAATAGCCACGAAAACGACCAGGACGAGCACCAAGCATCGGCTCCTGGAGACAGACACAAAGGGGCGAAAACCGCGAAACCAGAAGTTGGAGTTCGAGGAAATTGGCGTAATAACCTCGAACGTTCCATTGAAGAATGGACAACGACGAGAAGAGAAAGGACAAAAACAGAGAACAAGGAAGAAACAAAGGCGAAAGACCAACAGAGCACGTTAAAGAATATCAGGGTCGGGATCAGGGTCAGCAAAGTCAGGGTTAGGGGGCATGGGTAAACTGAGCAAAGACGGAGGGAAGGAAACGGGAGAACAGATCAGAGGTGGGCGGGCAGGGTCCGGAGGAGGAGGAGGAGGAGGAGGAGGAGGAGGAGACAACGGAGAGGAGCAGTCAAGGACAGCAGCAGGAAGAGGGGGAGTAGAAAGAGAGGAGCGCACCCCAGCAAGAGCAGCAACCGAAAGGGAAGCAGGAGCCAAAGAAACCTCCATAGCAGGAACAGGGGGCGCAAGCACTGAAACGGGAGGGGAAGGAGCAACAGAGCCAGAAGGAGGAGCTGAGGAAGAAAGCGAAGCCTTCTTACCCGCCGGGGAAGAGGAAGGAGAGGAGCCAGGCTTACGCTTCTGACTTAAAGAGACCGGTGTCCCAGCAACTACGTACCGGGCAACGGATTCCAGTGTCTCAACAGGAGAAGCCGAACGAGAGCACACACGACGACCGTTAGGAGAGCGATGGACATCCGCCCGCACCGACAGGCGGTGGGGAGAGCCAAGAGATGGAGGAAGAGGATGGGAAGGAGGATCGGAGGGGGACGAGGAAGAAGACACAGAAGACACGACAGACCGGGTAGAAGGAAGGGGAACCCCAGACAGAGGACCAGGAGGAGGATCCTTCGGGAGAGAACCCAAAGGAACGGAGGAGGGGGCAGTGGGCGCATCAGGGTCCAAGGCCCGGAAACGGTTGTGAGTCTGAGGAAGGCGGGAAGGACGTGGAGAGGAAGAGCGCAACACGCGAGCATAAGAGATATTAGCATAAGGCGGGAGCCGGCGAACCTGGCGCCTCGCCTCAGGAAAAGATAAACGCTCCCGGTGCTTCAGGTTGAGGACGGCCGCCTCAAGCTTGTAATGGACACACGCACGGGAGAAGGTAGGATGGGCCTCACCGCAGTTGAGGCAACGAGCCTGGGGAGAAGTGCACTCCGACTTAGAGTGACCTTCGCCACCACACAAAGGACAGAGAGATACAGTCCCGGAGCAGCGGAGGGCACCATGCCCAAACCTCCAGCACTTGTTGCAGAGCCGAGGAGAAGGAATGTACTCCTGGACAGAGCACCTGGCACCAGCAAGAATGACAGAGGGTGGAAGGGTCCTACCATCAAAGGTAATCTTCACAACCCGGAGGGGTTGACGGCGACTACCACGAGGGGGACGAGTAAACGTGTCCACCTGGAGAATAGAATGGCCCTGGGCAGCGAGGATATGGCGAATATCGTCGTGGCAGTCGCGCAGGTCCCGAACACCGGTTGCAACATGGGGCGGGAGCAAAATAGTGCCAACACTGGCATTCAATTGAGCGTTCTTCGAGACCCGAACGGGGGTCTCGCCAAGGCAGGATAAGGCAGCCAAGCGGGAAGCAGCATCCTGAGAAGGAGCAGCAACGACACGCGTACCGAGACGAGTGGGGTTAAAAGTAATGGAGGCATCCACGGAATCGATGAGATGTCGATGAAGGGAGAAATCGTCAGGAGGCGCAGAATCAAGAGGGAGGAGATCAAAATATTTGGCCCACGAAGCGGGACCAAACAAGGCTTGATAGGTAGCAGAACTGGAAGGAATCGAGCGAGGGCGGCCGTGACGAGAACGGCGGTGAGAACCCCCAGAGAGAGAGGGGTTAAAAGGCGCAGTAGTTACAACTAGAGAAGGAGCCGCGCCAGGGGACGAGGTAGTCACCACTGGGGGCTTGGGGCTCGACCCAACCACAGAGGAGGGAGGGGAGCCAGGGGAAGGAGTCAGAGAGGCCAAAGGAGGAGCAAGGTCGGGGCCCAATGCAGCGGAGGCTACAGAGCCCGGTCTTCCAATACGGACCGACTCGGGGGCTTGGTCGCCCACCCCACGAGCCTGAAAAGGTAAGCCAGAAGCAGCCGAAACAGGGGTTATCATCTTGACGAAATTACGAATTCACTCACGAATGTGCCCCCACACCCACCATGGAGCCACAATTAGAGGCAGGACACCCAACAAGAAGCTATCGCCGATCTTGTCGGGGCCTCCTAGGGGTGCGTCGTGAGTATACGCCCCACAAACGCCACCTTAAGAAACCGACAGTCCGTCGAGATCGGGTTCAGTGACGAAGTGGGGATTGACAATAAAAGGTTCCCCTCGCTCTCGACGTCGGGTACTGCAGTTCTACGGGTGCAAGAGTATGCCTCCTCAAGCACCCGGGCGTCAAAGTAGAAGAAGTCCAAGGGAAGAACCAGAACGAGCAAAAGGTCGGCAGGAAACGGCAAGCAGATAGGAGAAGAGGGGGGAGAAAAAAACGAAACAGAAGGAAAAGGAAAAGATGCCCAGCAGAATTGGAGAGGACGGCAGCAGGAGCACAAGGCTAGAAAAGGACAGAGGACTGTCCCAAGGAGCATCACACTCCGGCAGCCGCCCACTAAGCCCCCAGACGGCGACAACGAGCTGAGCGGGGAGGGGGCCAAAAAAAAAAAAAAAAAAAAAAAAAAAAAAAAAAAAAAAAAAAAAAAAAAAAAAAAAAAAAAAAAAAAAAAAAAAAAAAAAAAAAAAAAAATTGGGTATGTACACATTCGAGTCGCAAGGAATACCTAATAGTCAAAAGTCAGTCACAGTGTGAAGGAAGGAAGTTCTGGCAGGATAAATTATTTTCTCCCAAGGCTTATGTTATTTAACCTAAACCATTTCTGACGGTTGACTTTTACCCCAGATGGTAAAGACCTACATGACAACGAAAAAATAAATAAGTTTCGAAAACTAAAAATAATGAAAAACGCTAAGTTTCATTAAACAATAAAATGAAAGTACAGATGGAAAAAAATCACAGACTTACTATGTCTGAAACCTTTCGACTGGGATGTGGATCAAACCAGCGTCCTGGGTAACCCCAAACGCGCGCCTTATCATGGTTAATGGGTTAAAGCACGCGTCTATAGGGTTACCCAGTGGCAAATTTCTCACCAAGATACACTTTTTCTCCCTGGAGTTATTGAGAATTACCAGGTAGTTAGAAAATGGCTTATGTAGTACCAATATACAAGAACTTAAATCGACAGGAGACTTTTAACTACCTGTGCTACTTACAGAGATGTAAGATCCCACAAGAAAAAGGCTCCTGGAATCACAGGAAAATAGGATTTGACACCAATTATAACCATAGAATTATGACGAGATACTGACTGGTAAATGCACCTCACTCACCACCTACTTACCCCAATAACGTGAGTCTTGCGCCGCAAAGGAGGAACTCTGAAGAGCTTGCACCAGTACAGTGAGTCCGAGTCGTCTGGTAGACTCACCTAGGGACGGAACCACAGTCAGGTTTATAATCTACACAACATATAATTCGGCACAGCTGCAGCAAGATTTATGTTAATTTAATAAGAGGGATATAAGGAAAAAGCTGAGACCAAGAGTTGAAGCTCGATCGTTCAGGTAAAATTAGGGAAGAAAAAAAACTTACATTAATTGCGTGTAAATTCCAGACGGAGACATCGTCGCCGAAGTCTGGGAGCAAGAACCTTGGCTCCTGCAGGTACAAGCTCTTGGTCCCTCTGTGGCCATGCATCGCCACTCTCCCTATGTCAGGTGGGTCCTCGCGCCCGTATGCCCAGATAACTCGAGTCGTGTCACTCTATGGGGGCAGTAGTGCAGGTATTAGCGAGGGCTGGGATGAGCTGAGCTGGGATGATTGGGAGACTGGGGAGCTAGCTCCTAATCATAGCTCCCCTTAGCCAAGGGAAAGTAGGATAACTGGAGTGGGGAAGTGGTAGGTTGCAGGGGATGAGAGTGCGTAGTAAGCTTCAATGGGGCATGAATAATTTGAAGATAAATGTAAATTGAGAGAGAAAGAGCCTGGAGAAAAATGCTGGAAAATAAATCAGACGACGCAGCAGGTAAAAAGTATTAAAATCAAAACAAAAGTGTAAAAAACTTGTACATTATATTGTATATTAAAAGAGGTTTACAACTGAAAGAAATCAAACTTTGTTGAATTCACTGTGTTACCAGCAATTAATGTATCGCTGATTAAATTATTCTGCATCAGGATCATTTAATGCTCAACAAACTTGCTAACTTACCTAGAGATGAAATCTAACTAGTCTATAAATTTATCCAAATACAGAGAGAACATACAGCATATAAAACCCAGAGACAGTAGGTTGTTGAGACGACTCACAGTGATATGGAAGTCGTGCAGGTCGTCACAGGTGTTCCAGGGCCTGGAGAACCTCAGGACGGTGTGGGTGTCGTTCTGGTATCCTCCAAGCACCTTCAGGTCCTGTGAGTCGTCTAGGACAGGATGCCAATTACCTTCTCCATGAAGATCCTGTTGGATAGGATACACAAGTTACCCTCCCATGAATACTCTCTGATAGGATGCCAGTTAATTTACTCAAGAAGGTTCTGTAAGGAAATTTGTTAACACCCTCCCCCCTCCCTCACATACAAGATCACCACATACAATGTTCTCAGGGGATTTGACAGGGCAGACAAGGATGGATTATTTAACACGAGAGGTACACGCTCAAGGGGATTCAGGGGGAAGCGAGTACCCAAATGAGCCACAGACATTAAAACTAATTCTTTTCAGTATCAGTTGCTAGTAAATGGAATGCAGTAGGCTGTCACTTGGTGAAGGCCGATTCCATACACAGTTTCAAATGTAGATATGAAAGAGCTCCAGAAGCTCAGGAATCAGTTCACCAGTAGGTTGAGAGGCGGGACGAAAGAGCCGAATCTCAACTCCCGCAAGCACAACTAGGCGAGTACATACAAACATATATACAGCTGACATTTGCTGTACACATCACTTAAAATATATTCCTATGTTTCAATGTCTCAAGTTTAATAAATTCTGATCGGTTATATGCACTTAATTTTCTTAATTCTAAGTGAATTCAGCACATCGCATAGCCTAAAAGCCATGCAACGTGCTGCATTGCATGGCCTTAGGGTCCATGTAAAAATGATATTTTATGTAATGAAAAAAATAAGCTTGAACGACACATTAAGAATATTCTTTTATTCTGAAGTGTCCGAGGTTAGTCCGTTTTATTTCACGCGATATCATAATGTCCTTCATTTTTGTCTTTAAATTCTTACATATATTCCGATTTAAAAAGCAGGAAGTATTCATAGTTCAGTAAGGTTGTGTATGATCACAATTCAGATTTCAATCAACTGCTAAAAAATCCGTGTATTAGTGCATGTGACATTTGGGGCAAATTTTATTGGTATAAAAAACATCTGAATCTGGCAGCTGCGGACGTGCGGGCGCACCATAGCCTGTGCTTCTTGGAACTTTTGTCCAGTGTTGCTGAATCTATAACAACAATGCCGACGTGCGGAGTTTTAATGTACACTGAAGAGTCAGATCCATCTAGTCATCGTTATTCTACAAGTCTTATGATATCACATGTTCACCCAACACGAGATTACTAATTTCGACCTACTGGGTGTAGACATGTACACGCAACACTACCACGTGGCTGCAACCTGTCGTGGCCTACCACTTCAGGTTGCAGCCGAAGCACAACCTAAAGGTTCCCAAGTCGTAGGATGGAGAAAATTTGGATTGAGACTGCCTCTGCTCACTTAGCAGTAAATAGGTACCTGGAGTTAGTCAACTGTCTTGAGTTGTATCCTGGGGATACAACTCAAGACAGTCTATCATTGGCCAAGGAGGACCCCTTTAACCCCATCAGGCTTCCTGTCCCCGACAATAGCAAATCAATCTGAGAAGGAGTGCGTGTACTGGCCTAGTTGTGCTTGAAGAGGCGACCTCCCTTTACTTACTACCATTTAACCATACAAATTTTCCCAACCAAAAATACAGATTAAGTTCACGTTGTCAGAGACAGGTAGGCTGTTAGGCTTCCTGTGGTCCCATAAGCAAATTACCGTTTTCCCAGGATTCTACCCACAACAGTCGACTAACTCCTAGGTACTTAAATAATACTGCAGTAGTGTCGGGTAACATTGTCTGGCAACCCAATCAGTAGCAATCAGTTGCGAGACGACTGTGCAAAGAACTGCTCAATAGCTGTGTGGGGCCACCTTAATAACCTGAAGCAATATCTGCAACAAGATGGTAACTCACGTAAAGAAAGACATGGCCTTTGTCGCAGATCCAGCCCAAGATGATGTCTGCTCCCCGCATGCCTCCGCTGGGGGAGAACCCCAGGCCAACGTAGCCACGCGTCGCCACCTGCAGCGCCGCCGCCATCACCGCCACCACCACCGCCACCACCACCACCACCAGTAGCGCCGCCACCACCACCGTGAAGACACCACCAAGGCACCATGTGGATACATACGAATTATAAATTACTTATCTGCTCTCGTTAGTGTTACTAGTGCCCACCCGTTCCTAATTACAATTGTATGAGCTAACTATTAATACATTATAATCATCGTTATACAGGATAAGCTTTAACGATAAAGGTCAACTCCTGTGCAAAACTAAACAGTTCAACCCTGGCGCAGTGCTATTTTGAACAAAAATAAGCATACTGAACATTGAAGCTTAGGTTCAATCTCTGCCAAAATACACATTCGTGTACCATTTCTTTTCCCCAGGGATGAATAATTTTAATTCTATGTATAGGTTAGAAGTTAGGTTAGAAGTACAGGTTAGAAGTTAGTAGCCAGAACGCACTTCTCGGCCTACTATGTAAGGCCCGATTTGCCTAATAAGCCAAGTTTTCATGAATTAATTGTTTTTCGATTACCTAACCTACATAACCTAACCTAACCTAACTTTTTCGGCTACCTAACCTAACCTATCCTATAAAGATAAGTTAGGTTAGGTTAGGTAGGGATGGTTAGGTTCGACCATATATCTACGTTAATTTTAACTCCAATAAAAAAAATTGACCTCATGCAAAATGAAATGAGTAGCTTTATCATTTCATAAGAAAAAAATTAGAGAAAATATATTAATTCAGGAAAACTTGGCTTATTAGGCAAATCGGGCCTTGCATAGTAGGCTGAGAAGTGCGTTCTGGCTACTAGGTACGACATATATATATATATATATATATATATATATATATATATATATATATAGCTGAGAAGTGCGTTCTGGCTACTAGGTACGACATATATATATATATATATATATATATATATATATATATATATATATATATATATATATATATATAGGCTGAGAAGTGCGTTCTGGCTACTAGGTACGACATATATATATATATATATATATATATATATATATATATATATATATATATATATATATATATATATATATATATATATATATCGTACCTAGTAGCCAGAACGCACTTTTTGGCCTACTATGCAAGGCCCGATTTGCCTAATAAGCCAAGTTTTCCTGAATAAATATATTTTCTCTAATTTTTTTCTTATGAAATGATAAAGCTACCCATTTCATTATGTATGAGGTCAACTTTTTTTTATTGGAGTTAAAATTAACGTAGATATATGACCGAACCTAACCAACCCTACCTAACCTAACCTAACCTATCTTTATAGGTTAGGTTTGGTTAGGTAGTCGAAAAAGTTAGGTTAGGTTAGGTTAGGTAGGTTAGGTAGTCGAAAAACAATTAATTCATGAAAACTTGGCTTATTAGGCAAATCGGGCCTTGCATAGTAGGCTGAGAAGTGCGTTCTGGCTACTAGGTACGACATATATATATATATATATATATATATATATATATATATATATATATATATATATATATATATATATATATATATATGTGTGTGTGTGTGTGTGTGTGTGTGTGTGTGTGTGTGTGTGTGTGTGTGTAATTATTACCTAAGTGTAGTTACAGGATGAGAGCTACGCTCGTGGTGTCCCGTCTTCCCAGCACTCTTTGTCATATAACGCTTTGAAACTACTGACGGTCTTGGCCTCCACCACCTTCTCACCTAATTTGTTCCAACCGTCTACCACTCTGTTTGCGAAAGTGAATTTTCTTATATTTCTTCGGCATCTGTGTTTAGCTAGTTTAAATCTATGACCTCTTGTTCTCAAAGTTACAGGTCTCAGGAAATCTTCCCTATCGATTTTATCAATTCCTGTTACTATTTTGTATGTAGTGATCATATCACCTCTTTTTCTTCTGTCTTCTAGTTCTGGTATATTTAATGCCTCTAACCTCTCATCGTAGCTCTTGCCCTTCAGTTCTGGGAGCCACTTAGTAGCATGTCTTTGCACCTTTTCCAGTTTGTTGATGTGCTTCTTAAGATATGGGCACCACACAACAGCTGCATATTCTTGCTTTGGAATAAACAAAGTCGTGAACAATTTCTTTAGTATATCGCCATCCATGTATTTAAAAGTACTTCTGAAGTTAGAAAGCGTGACATAGGCTCCTCGCACAATATTCTTTATGTGGTCCTCAGGTGATAGTTTTCTATCTAGAACCACCCCTAGATCTCTTTCTTTATCAGAATTCTTTAAAGATTTCTCACATAATATATAGGTTGCGTGGGGGTCTATGTTCTCCTATTCCACATTCCATAACATGGCATTTATTAACATTAAATTCAATTTGCCAAGTGGTGTTCCATATACTTATTTTGTCCAGGTCATCTTGAAGGGCATGACAATCATCTAAGTTTCTTATCCTTCCTATTATCTTAGCATCATCAGCAAACATGTTCATATAATTCTGTATACCAACTGGTAGATCATTTATGTAGACAATAAACATCACTGGTGCAAGAATTGAGCCCTGTGGTACCCCACTTGTGACATATCTCCAGTCCGATACATTGCCTCTGATTACTGCCCTCATTTTTCTATCAGTCAGAAAATTTTTCATCCATGTTAAAAGCTTACCTGTCACCTCTCCAATATTTTCCAGTTTCCAGAACAACCTCTTATGTGGAACTCTGTCGAAAGCCTTTTTAGGTCTAGATAGATGCAGTCATCCCAACCATCTCTTTCCTGTAATATCTCTGTTGCTCGATCATAGAAACTGAGTAAATTGGATACACAGGATCTTCCACATCGAAAACCATACTGTCTGTCTGATATTATATCATTTCTCTCCAGGTGTTCTACCCATTTAGTTTTAATTATTTTTTCCAATATTTTGACTATTACACTTGTCAATGATACCGGTCTATAATTAAGGGGGTCTTCCCTGCTTCCACTTTTGTAGATTGGAACTATGTTAGCCTGTTTCCACACATCAGCTACAACTCCTGTAAACAGGGATGCCTGAAAAATCAGTTGAAGAGGAATGCTGAGCTCAGGTGCACATTCTCTCAGAACCCATGGTGAAACTCCATCTGGACCAACTGCTTTGTTCTTATTTAGCTCCTTGAGCATTTTTTCCACTTCGTATCTAGACACCTCTATGTGCTCTATGTTGTTCTCTGGAATTCTTATTGTATCTGGTTCCCTGAAGATTTCATTTTGTATTAACACACTTTGAAACTTTTCGTTTAATGTTTCACATATTTCCTTCTCATTTTCAGTGAATCTATTTCACATTTTCAACCTCTGTATATCATCCTTTACCTGCAATTTGTTGTACATGAATTTATAGAATAGACCTGGTTCTGTTTTACATTTGTCTGCAATCCCTTTTTCAAAATTTCTTTCTGCCTCTCTCCTCACTGCCGTGTAGTTGTTTCTCGCATCTTTGTATCGCTGGTATGTTTGGGGGTTTGGCCTCTTCCTGTATTGATTCCATTTTTGTGTCTTTTGGTCTCTGGCACTCTCGCACTTTCTGTTGAACCAATCCTGTTTCCTAGTTCTGCTTCTCTGTTTTGGTATAAATTTTTTTGTGCCTTTATCATATATTTCACAAAACTTGACATACATCTCATTCACTTCCTTGCCTAGCAACAAGTCTGTCCAATTATACCCACTAAAAAAATTTCTAAGGTTGCCATAATGTCCTCTCCTAAAGTCAGGTTTTTCAATTGCATCAACCTTCATATTTTCTTCCAGATTATACCGCATTGCATACTTTATTCCCAAAAAGACATGGACACTTTTACCCAAGGGAGGAAGGTACTGAATGTCAAATATTTCTTCCTCCTTCTTGGTAAACATCAAATCTAGCATGGAGGGAACGTCCCCTTCCCTCATCCTCGTAGCTTGTTTAACATTTTGATACAAGAATATTTCCAGGATGAGGTCTACAAATTTACAGGTCCAGAAATCTTCTGTTTTAGCTTCATATGCTTCCCAGTCTATGGCTTTCAAGTTGAAGTCGCCGACTATCAACAGTCGTGAATTATCGTTATCCGCTCTCGCTATGATCTCTCTCATTATTGTTATAAGACCTTCTCTTTGACTATCTAGCTCCTCCTTTGACCATGTGCTGCTTAGCAGTGGACTGTATGCATTTATGATCATTAGTTTATCATCCTCATGGCAGATCTCTAGTGCTATTATGTCAACTTCTTGTGGATTGGCAGTCATTATTTCCTTCACCTTTAGGTGTTCTGTCACCAGCACAGCAACGCCACCGCCTTTTTTTAATTTTTCTGTCCCGTCTCCAAATTGAGTAGCCCCTTGGGAATATGACCTCATTTAAAATAACATCTTCAAGTTTTGTCTCCGTGAGTGCAACAATGTCTGGTGTCTGCAGCTGTATTACTTTCCCATCCTCATCACTTTGTAATTTTCTAGCATTCCTTAGTACTTCCTCCATTTGTTTGGCACCATTTAGGGTGATCCTCAAAGGTCGATTTTTCCCTTTTACATATCTGCCTATTCTCCTGAAGTCGCACACATTCTCTATGGTTGTAAGACCTTCCACGAGGCCAACAACTTTATCTACTACTTTTGCTTCTTCTACAGCTCTTTCTGACCTAGATGTTATCTACTTTTCTTTGCAGCCAAAAATGATCAGGGACTTACTCCGATCAAATGTGTTTTGCACCAACTTCGGGTTAGATGCCAATTATTTTCTCACTTCCAGCCCAATGTTTGTTTTATCTTGGTTGCTGCAGTGTTTGACTTCCTTTAGCTAGTTTAAATCTATGACCTCTTGTTCTCAAAGTTACAGGTCTCAGGAAATCTTCCCTATCGATTTTATCAATTCCTGTTACTATTTTGTATGTAGTGATCATATCACCTCTTTTTCTTCTGTCTTCTAGTTCTGGTATATTTAATGCCTCTAACCTCTCATCGTAGCTCTTGCCCTTCAGTTCTGGGAGCCACTTAGTAGCATGTCTTTGCACCTTTTCCAGTTT